TTTTCTCCCTCCTCCACCCACCTAGCTCTAGAATGAATAATACTCCCCTTAACTTTTTGCAATCTAATGGTTTCTAGTTCTTTTTTCTTATTTTCTAATTCCTCTATATTTACTCCCTCTACCTCTAACTCTGCTATTGTCTTCTTAAGAATATCCTCTACTATTTTGCTGTTTTTTCCTATATGAGGAATAAGAAATAGTTTCTCCTTTGATTTCCATCAATAAAGTTTCCAAAAATAACTGATCATTTATAGTAAATTGTAAATCAGAGTCCAATATATTTTCAAGGTTATCTATTTTGTAAACTGGTAGACAATATTGTTTCTTAACATAATCTATACAATTGTTTATAATGTTTAGGTACTCTATATCTTGTAATAAAGAATTATTTATTTTCCATAAACCCCTCCCCTTCTTAAATTCATTTATTTTCATTGTAATTTTAGGGAACGAATGGTCTGATCGATAACCTGGGTCTACACTTGAAAGATTGACACTAGAAAGAAGATTTTCCGAAATAAGAAAAAGATCAAGACGAGCTTGTCTAATAGGATTACTTTTCCTCCATGTATATCTCCTAGTTTCTTCATGGTGTTCTCTAAAAATATCAACCAAATTAAAATGATCTATTATCTCCAACAGTTTGTTTCTAGCCTTAGGGTTATTTAAGTTTTTATAGTTTTTATCATAATCCAACTCAGGTTTTAAGACTAGATTAAAATCACCACAAATAATAACCTTAGTATTATCAAAAATTTCAATAGCTTCAGATACCTTGTTGTAAAAATCTGGGTTATCTTGGTTTGGGCCATATATATTAATCAAAGTAATGTGTGAATCTTCTATTTCAATGTCTAATGCTAAAAAATTACCAGTTGAATCTTTCTTTTCTCTATGTACTTTAGTTTCGAAATTATTACTCAACAGGATAGCAACTCCTCTTGCATTTGATCTAAACGAGTTAAAAAAACAATCATATCCGTATTCATTTCTTATTAATTCTTCCTTTTCTGGCGTAAAATGGGTATCTTGTAAACAATAAATATTATACTGTTTTTCTCTAAGGTACGTAAATACATCCCTGCGTTTAAATCTATCCGACAACCCTTGACAATTAGCCGAAAGTAATGTTACACCGGTACCTGTATCTGCCACCACGAGGGTACGTTATCGAATTTAAAACATTCTACCATCCCAAAGAAGAGTAGTCGATAGAGAAGAAAGGACAGGTATTGACAAAGTACAGAAGAAACGAATAAAGAAAACATTGAAAATAGGGGAATGTATAAAATCATTATTGAAATGATCTAGGTCTTTGCCTACTACAAACCTACGTACTTTCTATTAACAGTGTTTACATACAGCCGCTCCATATACCGGAAATAGAATACTTATAATAAAACCGGAAACCGGAATTAAGTACATGATAAGTCACAAAACAAGGCTACGCATATAGATCCGGAAGTAATGAGATAATAAAAATATGTAAAAAACAAAAGGAGGGAAAACACTCGAATGTTTTGTTTCACCACGCATATTCCAAAAGTATGTTTATTTATGATGCGTTCCTATATATTTACATTATACTCGGAATATATGAGAGGTAAAAAGAATACTGTAATACTGTAAATGGTTAGGTTGTGTCCACTTACCGGGTTACCTGTATTCTGCTCACTGTCCATCATCAGGTGTATTAATCCACACAGACACACACATACTAGCTATACTATAAGTAACACAGGTGCGTTGCACAATCGGCGACACAGTATGTGCCTTTAATGTCCGTTACCGATCGTAACCTATGCACACACACAAAAAACACTTATTTCAAACAAAATTACCATTGTCTTTTAAATAATCCTGCGTTTAGTCCCATTCTGTAACACAGCGAACATCTTACCATCCACGCTATATGTATTCTTCACACAGTTCAACTGATAAGCGTGCTTAAGAATTTGAAGATTCGCTTTTGTCAGGTCCTCGAAAATTACATAACCAGTGTTTTTCAGATTCCTGCGCTTGTGGAGAATGTCATGTTTTATCCGTCTCCTGGTGAATTTCACAATAACGTTCCTGGGTTTATTTTTCTCGAATTTTCCCAACTGATGTGCGATTTTAATGTCATCTTTACTTAGCCGTACATCTAGCTTGTCTTTCACGAATCCGACCACTTTTTCCACACACTCTTCTACAGACTCCCTCTCAGAGACGTCCTCTAGCCCGATAATCCGGATGGAGTCCTTTCGTCCGTGTTGTTCAAGGTCGTTCATCTTTCCGTCTAGGTTCCCTTGTAGCTCGCTACAACGATTTTCAAGTTTATCTACAGTTCTTCTTAAGTCCTCATTTTCACTCTCCATATCAAAAATCTTTCCTTCTAGGTGGTCAGTCAACACCTTGACCTCTTCACTAAAGTCTCTCCTCAGGATACTTAGTTTACTATCCAAATATTCTCGTGTCAGCAGTGAGGAGAGCGTACTTGTAATCTCGTCAAGCCTCTCGTCTACAGTTTTCTTGACCTTTCCATCATGATCCGATTCACTTTGTCTTGTTGTCCTTGCATGTGACTTCGCTTTTCCTGGACCAGACATGGTTAAGCTGAGAAATGTACACTATATTAACAGCCCTAACACACAGCGATACATGTATAGGTATGTCCTATAGTGATACCAGTACGTGGTAAGTAATAGTCACCGTCACCGCTCAAATGGTAAATATTGATAAAAGTGGACATTGTCACCAACACGCCATTCAGTAACTGGACTTAACAGTTCAGTTCATTGCTTGTAGATTCTAACTGGATTTCTGTGATTGACAAATGTACCGACAGAAGTCCACAACCTTCAAGTTTTGACTCCGATATTTTTTTAAAGTAATATCAGTTGTAATCTTGCTGTAGGCAAAAAATGAATTATTGCAAGATGTCTCAAAGTTAAGGATAATATACAATGTTTTAATATGAAAATTATTGTCACTGCCTATTTGTTAAAGTTCACCGATTTTTGGGTCATACATGTAATTGTTACAGAATTTGCCATCTGTACGATCTAAAACACCCTGTGTATGATTCGCTACACACTGTATGATCTGCTGTGCATATACAATACAAAACGTAATATTTATTTCAGTCATGTATATACATAAAACATCGAAACATTATTTTTGATCTCACATGTAAAACGGCACATATTGACACATCACAGTAATACACTTTTTAACAAACATATGTGCAGAAAGACAAGTGGAATTGTGTCAATAAAACCCTTCATACATGAAACATTGACAAAGTTTTAAATAGAGTAGTGTTCATTTATTTTTTTCGATACCATTACGTGATTATTCGATATCAAAGTGTATGTTGGTACAAGGTAAACACAAACTATAATGTCGGTATAAGGTAAACAGTAATTATAATTAGGTACAAGTTGATCACTAATTGTAATGTCGGTACAAGGTGAATATTTATTATAATGTTGGAACAAGGTAAACAGTAATTATAATGTAGGTACAAGTTGATCACTAATTATAATGTCGGTACAAGGTGAATATTTATTATAATGTAGGAACAAGGTAAACAGTAATTACATGTATAATGTAGGTACAAGTTGATCACTAATTATAATGTCGGTACAAGGTAAATATTAATTATAATGTTGGAACAAGGTAAACAGTAATTATAATTAGGTACAAGTTGATCACTAATTATAATGTCGGTACAAGGTAAATATTTATTATAATGTAGGAACAAGGTAAACAGTATTTACATGTATAATGTAGGGACAAGTTGATCACTAATTATAATGTCAGTACAAGGAAAATATTGATTATAATGTTGGAACAAGGTAAACAGTAATAATAATGTAGGTACAAGTTGATCACTAATTATAATGTCGGTACAAGGTAAATACTAATGATAATGTCGACACCAGGTTTTAACTAATGAGAATGTCGATACTAGGTTTACACTAAAGGAAAATATTGATTATAATGTTGGAACAAGGTAAACAGTAATAATAATGTAGACTAATGAGAATGTCGATACAAGGTTAACACTTATGAGAATGTCGATACACGGTTAACACTAATGAGCATGTCGATACAAGGTTAACACTAATGGGAATGTCGATACAAGGTTAACACTAATGAGCATGTCGATACAAGGTTAACACTAACGGGAATGTCGATACAGGGTTAACGCAAATGAGAATGTCGATACAAGATTAACACTAATGAGAATGTCGATACAAGGTTAACACTTATGAGAATGTCGATACA